TTCCATCTTTTAGAGGCTATTTACTATATTGTGTGGTTAAAATTATTTGAATCAGTTCTTTAAAAACGATAAACACTTTACCATACTTCTGCACTTCAAATGACTTGTTGTACGTGTGGCCTTGCATCTCCACAAAGACTAACCATTCGCCGAAGACCGGTTGGTCTGATAGCGGAAAGCTAATATTGACAATTCCTGATAGAGACAATAGTGACGTAAAAATACCAGCACTTCATATGTACTATGGTGGTCAATGCTTATTAGACATCATAGTGACTGTCATAAACTAAAGTTGTACAGTGTGATTACATAATGATTGCAACATCATTAAAGTAGACGGAACACAACAGTAACAATTCTTACCACAACAAACAGACTTCAGATCTTTCCAATGGATTATGCGGGATCCTCTGGGGTCCTAGGTAAACAAAGTGGTAATCTTAAACAGTATGTGGTAAAAAATAGTCACACTCTTGCTTATTTGTTTGCCTTAAATCCAGAAGCCACTTTACACTTGTAAAAAGGCAGCAAAGAATCAAGCTTAAGCAAACATGTTTCAAATCCAGCGATGCTTTCAAACAAACTGACCTTGCCCTGACTCAAAGGGCCAACACTCCAGGAGCCCGTCAATCAGGGCAAAACTACCCACACCCCAACTGGCACTTCCTCCAGCGAGAGCCAGAGGCCGACAGTGCTAAACTAACATAAACATGAAACATTGCATACATAGCAAACATTTTTTCTGGTTCCCCTTTGGCCATTTGCACAGCTTTCAGAAGAATTTTCTGGAACTGAGGAAGAGTATTTGCCCCAAAGATGCTTCAAAGACCAAGCAGCATGTGGGAAAGAGATGGAAGCTAAGCACAGAGCAGTGGGGGGCAACGCCCCAGGAAGACTCGCTCCCTTTTATCTCCCTAGTTGCCCACTAGCGTCTGCTCTAGGGTTGAACCCAACACTGGTGACCAGTTGTCAAGCTCTATAGCTGTGCAACATGGACCCTGCTGGGAAAGAAACACTCCAATCATGCTTCCCAACCAGAGCAGTGTCCACCCCATGGCCTCCACTCACCACTATGTAAGCTTCAATCTGTAAAACAAAAAACAGAAGTGATTAGTGGGGTGAGGACGACAAACTGTATAGCTATAGCTACATTAGCCCTCCTCAAGATTTGAATCAATCTTCCATCTGAGAGAAGTTTTGAAGAATTTTGCCAGCGTGCATTTTTTAGCAGCCCAATTTTCAATAAGGATACTGTCCACACACTATAGCTAGAGCCACTTTTGGAAAAAAGCTTGTTTCTAAGTGACTCTGGTGAACTTGTTTCTGTAATTTGCATTTTTGTTTGTGCATGAGGATAATACAGCTAAGCTACCTTTTGTGCCTTTCTAAAAATGTTAGCAAGATAAGCTTTAAGATACTAAATAAACACTGCTAATGCTAAATAGGACAATGATCCTCTAATACAAATCATCATTTAAAGGGGTCATATGATGCGATTTCAATTTTTCCTTTCTCTTTGGAGTGTTACAAGCTCTTGGTGCATAAAGAAGATCTGTAAAGTTGCAAAGACTAAAGTCTCAAATCCAAAGAGATATTCTTTATAAAAGTTAAGAGTCAGCCACACTTACCTAATGTGTCTTTTTAACCTTAAACCGCATAAACACATTTCATTACACCAAATACACAAAATACTGTTCTTTTTAGCAGCATCATATGACCCCTTTAACATTTTAGCATATAATTTCAGGACTTCACCTTTTCACTGGTTGGCCTTAGGTCTGGTGTGACAGCATATACATTGATAAGAACTAGAGAAGAGAGAAAGAAACATACAGTAATTAATTAAAATTCAACTTGTTTCTTTCACAAAGCTATCCATGACACTAAGTTTGGAATAGCATGCAGGATGTACAGTGTGCAAAATAAGCACATTTTGTGTATGCACAGAATACTCTTCTGCAATATGTAAAAGACCATACAACATAAAATATTGTGTCCCACAATGAAATGCACTCAACATAACCTTTCATTTCTAGTGTGAGGAATGAATCAGAAGTGATATCGGCCAAGTTTTTAAAAACATCTTTAACCAGAATGGTAAGAGTTTTGGCACAAGATGTAATAAAAAATACCAAATAACTATAAATTTAAAAGATAATAACTGGAATTGTACGGAGGTCATGTAACAGCAATGTGCTGCATGATTTTTTGCATTAAAAAAAAAACATATTAGGAAAGTATAGAGTGTGTATTTAATATGCTAAATTGCATATTAAATAGCCAATATCAACAGCACTGAGACATGTAGCATTACAAACATAGTTAGCATCATCAGCAACCCATTCCCGTTTGGTGAAAGGAGAGAGACCTTTCTGCCGGGGCTTATAGACTGGCTTGTCGGTCTGGATGAAAACAGTTGTGCCTTTGCTGTCCACTGTCACAGTGGTGTGGTTGTGGAAGATGTAGCCACCCTCATTGAGCTGACGGTTCCCCCAAACCTTCAGATGTGCCTGGCCTCTAAGATCTGATGGCACCTGGGAACATTGTGGTTATTAGGCATAAAGGTCCCATCCAGCTCAGTGCAAACTGCTGCTTTAAGGACTATGGACTAAAACTGGCTTATGATTGGCTCACCTTTATTTTGATGGTACCTTTATCTGAAACGAAAAAGAAATGACAGGTAAAGTGAAACCTGCACAAGCACCAAGATTTCTGCATCAAAGCATGAATTTATAGTGAAATAAAGGGCTTTATCGAACAAAACCATAAATTATGATCATTTAAGATTGGTGCCATTTTTAATTTGACACAATTTATGAAAATGAAGCTTAAATAATACTCAGTATTGGTGTTTAACTTTTTAACCAAGGACAGTGATCTTTGGTGGGTCAAGACATTGCAAAAGGAGCTCTTGGTTTGTTTGTTTTTAATGCCATGCCAATTTCTACGACTATTCAATTGGCAAAAACTATACTTTAGTTAATAAAATTTAAAATGGAAACTAAATAAGACATTTAAGACCCAATAATTACAAATCTAAAAATTAAAAACTAAATTTAAATTACCTTGATTAAAAACATTTTCAAAGGTAAGAGGAGCTCTTGGCACCACAGCTGTTGTTGGACGTTACTTTGAGATGCTGAATTGAGCAGTTTTAAATTTTAGTAAATACCCAAAATAATTTTCACCTCGTACAGTGCCATGGCTATGAGCCACAATCTCGCTCTTGACGCTGAGCTGCAGCTGCACTCGTGTGTCCTCTACCGCATTGAAGATGGTCACACTCACGGCCTCTTCCACACCGGCACGGAACACAGATGGTGTGGCAATCAGGTAACCCCTGTGAATCAAAGGACGGGAGTACACAGCAACAGCTGTGCGTGTTTACATCACAAGACTCCAGGTACCAATTATGCTAACACTTTGTTTTGTCTAGACCGTACATCTGAATCTCACATCATAGGGCACACAAATCAAACAAACAAGAGTGCTGAACCTCACCACTTGGGAAAACATAAAACAAATATCAGATGTTCAAACACTAACTGGCAAGTGTTTTGTTTCTTTGTTGCTCATGTTGGGTGTTGTGAGAAGGGTGGAACCTTATGATTGATCTCAAAACAACAATTTAGACTACCGAAACATCTTCTAAAATAACAAATTGCTCTTGTTGTTTAAATTACAATAATGGGTTGACCACTATGGAAAGGGGCTCCAAAGTCACTTTGCAGGACCATGACCAGGGCTGTGTCTGAAATTGCCCCCTATACCCTTATATAGTGCACTATTTGAGGACCACTTGTAGTGGACATTATCAAATGCACTCATGCACTCCCATAATGCACTGCAATAACAAATGTACAAACGATGTACGATCGATCAATGGCTAGAGGATGGACTCTATGCAGTCACTTCTGCGGTTTTTTAGTGCGTGCATTTAATACACCATGAGGGCTGCGCAGTATGAATTCTTGCATCTCGATGATGTAGTTGACAGCGGAATCATGCAGGTACAAGTTCCTTTTTGACTTGTTATTAAATTGTTTAATTATGGTTTACGCAAGCCATTTTGTTTTGTTAACTGTTACTATTGGAGCTTACCAGATGCATTCAACTGTATTTTACTATTAAACAGAAAGCATAAACAATGCAAAAGCAGCAGTTTTTCTGGAGCTCTCAGTGTCCAACTTTGCTCACTCATTTTCATTAACTTCTACAACTACACTAGTGGACTAACGTAGGGAACAGTGAATGAGGGTATAGGGGGGTATTTCAGACACACTTGTTTTGCCGCAGTTAATCTGAGCAAGAAAAGACTATTCAAAGAAGATACTTAACAGAAACATTGCCTTTGAAAGGTGGAGTGCGCCACCTACAGTACTGGAGTAATATTGGTTTTAGTTCAAACTGACAAATATTAGTTTTGATCTATGCAGTGTTCAGACCATTTGGTGGTGATTTGTTTAAATGTTTGGTGTATGTAGGCCTTTACGCTTAGAAGAAAGAGACAAGGCTGCATAAAACCCAATTTTGGGGGTCAATGCAATTAAAACTAATAGCACTTTCTCAAAGACATGTCAAGACAAAGGTCAGGGCAATGTTGTTATACAATTAAATTAATCATAATTAACCTAATTCTTTAAGTGTTTTTCACCTCTTTGGAATCTACTGAACCCAATGTCCTACAAAAGAATAACTGAAGAACCTTTATAGGTATAAAGATCTCAATCTTCTGATATAGCCTTGGGAAAGTGAACTTAATTGTATTCTGAAGAACATGAGGAGAATAAATTGGTTTCAGCACATACACTTAACTCATTACAACATAGCAGCATCAAAGCTGAAAAATTGAGAATAATTTAATATTACTATAAATATGTATATATATATATATATATATATAATTTCAATAAATTATGCCTCTGTTTGCTTAGTCACAAACCATATTACGTAAAAATGGAAGACTTTTTGAGTTTTGTCCCAGTACGCAAGCAGTGAGGTGACGACACATGACGTTGTATTACGCGAACCCAAACAGGAAGTGAGTGCAACAGCGTGGCTACATGAAACGATACACATGTTTCTGCTCAGTAGATTTATCAGCCAAGCTACGAAAACACCAAGAGTACAGTTTCAGCAACATGGTAAGTTAGTTTTGAATGCTTAGCTTGTATCATATAATCACATTTAGGAATAGTAAATGACTAGAAATAAATACAACGTAGCGAACTTGCTAACGCTAGTATATAAAGAAACATACTGTACATGTACATCATTTCATAGTAATAAAGTTACATATGAACAAAATAATACTAAATCATAAATAAATACATTGTAATTATATAACTAACAAAATATTACCGTGTTTCTGTCTTATGGCATTATTTAAAATACCGATTAAATAATAGTGTGTGTGTGTATATATATATATATATATATATATATATATATATGTATGTATGTATGTATCTATATAGCAAGGGATTCATATTGATCTTAGAGTCTTTTTGATGTTTGCGACTTGTGTGTCTATTCTATCTTTCTTTTTTTTTAAAGCACCTACAGATTTCACAAATTTGGTCAGAAGATTTTATGTACTTCAAGCCGAGCGTGTGGAGGCATACAAGCTATTTGAGGAGTCAGTTTATCTTTATCTATCTGTCTTGTCTGTCAGAGGTTATTTGAGGTAATACAGTTGTTGTTTTTCTCAGGGGTCATGAGGCGTACTTAAGGACGGGTCCCCACTATGACTTCGAGCACTACAAACAGCTGGTGCATGAGATAACAAAAGCATTCTGTGGCATTTCCAAAGAGGTTCTGGAGATTAAAGAGCAACTGCACCAAGACTTTGACAGGCCCAACCTCTCCGAACACATTGACAAACTGCAGATTAAAGAGAAGGAGAAACTAGAGCTGGTGGGCAATGTATTGTTTTTAAAAATGTTTGGCTAATACTACTAGTTATTATCAGAAACAAATAAGTCTAATTTGCTTTTTATTCCAAAATTGACAGCACTCTTTCATTTGAAGCTCAGATTAATAGTATTAACATTCATCTCTGTAATATTGCTCGCCTTCGTTCATCTCTCACCCCACACAGTACTGCCATTCTAGTTCACTCACTTGTCACCTCTCGCATCGACTACTGTAATTCTCTTTTATTTGGTTTATCACACAAGCTTCTCCATAAACTCCAGTTGATTCAGAATTCAATTAATCATAATTAACCTAATTCTTTAAGTGTTTTTCACCTCTTTGGAATCTAAGTTGTCTAGACTACTTACACAAATCCAGTTACAAATTTGGTTCCAGTGACCTTAAACGATGAGAAAAGTTTGGAAGGTGACTCTCTGACCCATTACATGCCCAAATAAACCCGGGCAGCTCAGTGTCCTTGAGTTTAATAGCATGCCTGAGTGTGAGATATCAAGTGATTGGCATTACGGTTCACCGAGGCCAGAGGCAATTTAAGTCTCAAGGCATGAGAAAATCCCTTCCAAGGCATCTACGTGGAATTGACTGTATTTGATCCTCACTTCCCTATCTTACAATGCTCTCATGTGTGCGATGGGAATAGAACTATTCAGTGTTTACATGATAGCACTATCTTGTTGAAGGAAAGTACAGCTACTGGCTGACTCAAGAGACTGTAGCTCTTTGTCGTAGAGAGGGCAAGCTGGTTATTGACCTCTTTCTCTGGTGCTCGAAATACTTGGCACAACCACGTGTAACAGGTATGGACACTGGCATTGAGCTCAGGATGAAATTCATGGACTTCTGTGGTTCTTGGGTCAATTAACCCAACAACATTCCTGTCAACTAATCTTTATGGGGTTTGAACAAGGTTCTTGTCAACTTATTGTTTGATGTTGGGGTATTTAAAGAGATAATTAAAGAAATCTGGTTCCAGCATCAATAAAAATGATTAAAAAACAACAACTTGGCAACATCGTACCCATCAATATAACATCAATAACTTTCTCCAAAAAAAAAAAAAAAAAAAAAAAAACCAAAAAAAACCCCACTAACACTTGCTTACCACACAAGCTTCTCCATAAACTCCAGTTGATTCAGAATTCAGCTGCTCGTATCATAACCCGGACTCCATCTATACAACACATTACTCCATCTCTTAAACAGCTTCATTGGCTTCCCATCAAATTTCACATTGAATTTAAAATTCTTCTTCTCGCGTATAAAACTCTCCATAACCTCGCTCCAACTTACCTCTCAGATCTTATTCAGCCCTACACCCCTTCTCGAACCCTTCGTTCTTCCTCACTGGGTCTTCTCCATACACCCAAGGCTCGTTTAACCACCATGGGTCATAGAGCTTTTAGCCGTGCTGCTCCTCGCCTTTGGAATTCTCTCCCAACTAACATCCGCAAATTAGATTCGTTATCCCAATTCAAAGCTAAACTCAAAAAACTCTTTTTTTTTTCTTTTTTTTGGTTCATTGATATTGCTATTTATTGTTATTTATTGCTGTTTTATTTATTGTTCATGATGTATGTTGACCTTGAGTGATTTGAAAGGCGCCTTAAATAAAATGTATTATTATTATTATTATTATTATTATGTATGGATGTGCACTGTCAAGCATACTTAGGAAGGTGATTGGTTAAACATTTCAGTCCTGCATAACATAAATTAGACCGTAAATTGATTTTGCTCCTCACTTCTTTATGCATAAGACTGAAACGTTATATTATTATTATTATTATGTTAGGATGTGCACTGTCAAGCATACTTAGGAAGGTGATTGGTTAAACATTTCAGTCCTGCATAACATAAATTAGACCGTAAATTGATTTTGCTCCTCACTTCTTTATGCATAAGACTGAAACGTTATTGAACCAAAAGTATCTGTTCTGTAATGGGTTACTGTATTCTTAATGTTCCTCTATATTTATGACTTTGCAGACAGCTAAGCTACAGTTGACCAAGCAGAATGCCCAGGATCACCCAGAAGATGAGGATTTCCAAGAGAAAGTTTGTGAAATCAAACAGGAGTAAGTGCAACTGAGCATATATATATATATATATACGGTTAAGGCAGTGCTGGAAAATAATGGTGGGCGCAAAATATATTGACACTTTCGGCCCAATTTGGACATTTTCACTTAGGGGTGTACTCACTTTTGTGGCCAGCGGTTTAGACATTAATGGCTGTGTGTTGAGTTATTTTGAGGGGACCGCAAATTTACACTGTTATACAAGCTGTACACTCACTACTTTACATTGTAGCAAAGTGTCATTTCTTCAGTGTTGTCACATGAAAAGATATAATAAAATATTTACAAAAATGTGAGGGGTGTACTCACTTCTGTGAGATACTGTATATATATATTTGCATATTTTTAAAATGTACTTTTTAATATTAACTTGTAATTTATAATTTAATTAAATTTATAATTTTATATATAATATTGATTGGTACTTTTTTGGTATTATCTGTTTCTTATTCATGTGTAATATAAAATATACTTATATAAATTAACTAATTAATTAATTAATGATGTGTGTGTATGTATATGTATATACTGTATATATATATATATGTATGTATGTGTGCGTGTATATACGATTGTATTTAAAATCTATTTTCAATATTAATTTGTAATTTATTTTAATTAGTTTTATATACAGTGGGTATAGAAAAGAATCACCTCCTTTAAAATAATCACATTTTGTTGCTTTGCAGCTTGAAATGAAGACCAACATGTCAGAAAAAAAAAAACTAAAACGAATCACTGAGTTGGAAAAAGGATCACCCCCTTGTGTCAGTATTTTGTTGAACCACCTTTTGCTTTAATTACAGCCTTTAGGCTGTTGGTAAATGTCTCTACCAACTTTGCACATCTAGACTTTGTCATATTTGCTCACTCTTCTTTGCAGAACTTCTCAAGTTCAGTTAAATGTGATGGTGACCGTTTGTGGACTGCAGTCTTCAAGTCATTCCACAGATGTTTTTAAGTCTGGGCTCTGAGTAGGCCATGCAAGGACTTTCACATTTTTTTCTCCTTCAACCACTGTGTGGTGAGTTTTGCTGTGTGCTTTGGGTCATTGCCATGCTGGAAGGTAAACCTTCTTCTCATTGACAACTTTCTGGCAGAGGGCAGTGTATTTTCCTCAAGAATTTGACTGTATGTTGCCCCATCCATTTTTCCTTCTATCCTGACAAGTGCTTCAGTCTCTGCTGCAGAGAAACACCCCATAACAGTATATTATCACTACCTCCATGCTTTACTGAGGGAATGCTGTTATTTGGATGGTGAGCTGTATTGGATTTCTGCCAGACATATCATTTGGTGTTGAGGCCAAATAATTCAATTTTAGTCTCATCTGCCTCAGAATCTTCAAGGTGTGTTTTGGCAAAGCTCAGTCGTGACTGCATGTGGCCTTTCTTGAGGAGTGGCTTTTTTCTTGCAACCCTCCCATACAAGCCACATTTGTGGAGAATTTGTGATATTGTTGTCACATGCACACAATGACCACTCTGTCATAAATTCCTGCAACTGCTTCAGAGTTGCTGTAGGCCTCTTGGTCGCCTCTCTCACCAGTTTCCTCCTGGCTCTTTCATCCAGTTTGGAGCGACGTCCTGATCCAGGGAGGGTCTGTGTTGTACCAAATACCTTCCGCTTCTTAATAATAGACATTCACTGTGCTTCTAGGCATTGATAAAGCCTTTGAAATTTGTATGTATCCATCTCCTGACTTGTGCCTGTCCACAACATTATCCCAGAGATCTTTTGACAGTGCCTTGCCACCCATAGTTGATTGTTTGCTTCAGTTGCACGTCCAAGGACTGAAATGCTCCAGGAAAGCTCTTTTCATGCTGAGCTAATCAAAATGAACACAGTTGATCACAGTTGAAAGTCAAATGGCTTTGTGTGCCATTGAGAAGGTGATTAGCCTCATCTGAGTTTACAAGTCATTTTTAGTAGTGGGGTGATCATTTTTCCAACTCAGTGATTCTGGTTGTTTATTTATTTATTTATTTTTATGACATGATGGTGTTGTATCTTTTACTTGGATGTTATAAGTTGCACCGAGTAAATACAGCAAAAAACAAAAACTGTGTCCATCTTCATTTCAGGCTGCAAAAAATCAAAACGTAATTATTTTAAAGGTGGATGATACTTTTCTATACACACTGTACAGTATCTAATAAGTCAAGCGACAACATGGGATTTGTGCCTCTAAGGCTTATAAAAAATGTCATGGGACAGCAAAGCATACCCTATTTGTGGAATGTGCCAGATGCTTGTGCAAATTGATGATTTGTTTTGTGCTAATTGTGTGTATCATGCTTACGAAAATTGTCATGCAATGATTGTACATGTTTTGGAGGTGTTATGTGCTGTAAGCTAGCAAATTATACATTTTGAACACTCATGTATAGTCATGGTCCTGCCTAAAAACAGCATAAACTTTTCAAACTCAATAGGAGCAAATTGGCACAATGAGAAGGCACACACACAAACATTATGTTTCTACATCCACTTGAGAGGATGTTGAGGGCAGTGATTTCTCAAGAAACTGTCAAAACGTATAAACACCATAAGGGTAAAAACACTTTGGCAGTTATAAGGAGGACTTTGTATAATTTAAAATTAATCTCTTTAGAAAATTATCAGCAGAAATACTGGATGGCTAATATTATTAGTGCTAATATTGGCAGTAGTTGAAGAAAAAAGACATTACTTTACTTTGAAAAAACGTGGTCCAAATGAAGAGTTCTGCAGGAAGTTGTTATAACCTTAACCTGTCATACTGAGTTGAAGAGGCAGTTTGAAACCTTTTGTGATTTCTCACCGGTAACTGGACACCCTGGCACTGTGGTGGAGATCTTCCTAACATGACATGTTTGACTGCTACACGAGAAAACCGAGGAATGTTGAATGAGAGTTATAGGATGAAGAGTCAAACACGTTTTACATATCTTCAGGCAGGAGGCATACATTTCTGAAAGGTAAAAATAAAGACAATGAAAGAATGTGAGATAATGTTCAGCATATTAAATATTAACATATATTTAATATTTTTTGTGGTTATTTTGTAGGTAAAATACCATTAGAGTTGGTAAATATGATTCATTTTTTATTTCAATTATTTATTTTTTTTTAAATAAAGATTGATTCATTTGCCAGAACCTTTGTAGGAAAAATTTTGAAGAAAGTGAAGAAAATTAGTTTAATTTCTGTGAATTAGGTTTGTCAGATTTTTTGAGGTGGTTCCAAAAACTGATTTACTTGCCTAATGACTTTTAAAAATGCTTAAAATCCCTGCAAATTTACATACATTAAAAGTTTTGGTAAACAAATATAAATGGGTAAATATTGCTATAGAGTTTCTTTAGTTAATTTAGTGAAGGACCATCGGAAAAACATTCCTTATTTATTTTTATTTTAATAAAAATTTTTACAGGATATTGAATTTAATTTGGTCAAACTGATTATTATTAATGAAAATAATTTTAAGACATTTTAGAGTAAAAACGTCTCTAGGTTAAGTATGTAACCCTAGTTCCCCGAGGGAGCGAGACGCTGCGTTGAACACTTTGGGAATGCCTTCAGCGAGACCATGCTCTGAAACATGTGTGTAATCAGTCCAATGAATGGGCGCGACGTCACGGACGGGGTGACGTAGTGACCAGGGGTCTCATTTATAAAACTCTCCGTAGATTTCATCCTAAAAGTGTAAGTATGCACAAAAGCTAGATTTTGCATACGCACAAAACTTTTCAAATTTATAAAACCATGCGTACGCCAAAACCTGCGCAAAAATCCCTTTATAAACCCCAGTCGGGATGATTGTGCATATGTGCATCTCCACCCCGACTCCTTCCCGAAATCACCATATATGGAGCTTACAATGCCTAGTTTTACTATGCATAACCTCATCTGCATATCATTTCCATGCATATTCCCATCCACGTGAGACCATATTTAACACCGTTAAAGGTACAAGACATTAAGGAAATATGAGATATGCACTATAAATGCCATGTGTGCCATACACAATTTTTATTGCTAAAAATCATCCAGTATCCTTGTTATGTTTTAGCATAAATATATCAAAATCCATAAAAACAAAACTGTTTAAAATAGTTCTCAGATAAATATTTTAGAATAGAGTTGATCTCATTCTTTTCCACTGGCCAAATAGTATTTCAATTGTTTTAAACAATTCAAATCAAATTTAATTTATGCAGTTTTGCTGATAAGGTGAACA